GTTTCATTATTAATCAGTCAGGACAATTAATCAGCAGGACGAATGGGCTCCAGAAATTGTGGGTGCCCCAACACTGGAAGTTTTAAAGAAGAGATTGGACAGCCATTTGTCTGAAATGGTATGTAGGGTTTCCTGCCTGAGCAGGGGGTTGGACTAGAAGACCTCCAAGGTCCCTTCCAACTCTGTTAATCTGTTAAGGAGGAAGGGAATGCAGGCAAGATGGTCCGTGTGAAGCTGCCAAACAAATGTCTGTCAAGTTTATACTTTAATCAAAGGCCTTGGTGGGCCAAATCTAGCTCAGGGGTAGGCCTCTGGCCTAGAGGGTTTGCAGGAGTGCCTCGTCTGACTCGACTTTTCGCCTACGCTGAATTTTCTCACAGGGATTTCTCTTCAAGGAGCTGACTCAGTTGTAGCTTTTCAAAATTTCCTGTGTTGTTCGGGGTGGGGGGTGGGCTGGGCACGGCATGAAGTAGCCGCCGCTTCACACGGAACAAGAATGTGCTGAGATTGTGTGGCAGAACCCCTCAGAAACATCTCCACATTTGAAGGCTGAGAAAGAGGGGGTGGGGGAAGAGTTGTAAAAAGATGCCCGGTCTTGTAGAATCTCTTGTGCATAGTATAGGCCAGTGTTTCTCATCCTTAGCAAGTTTAAGATGGATCGACTTCAACTCCCAGAATTCCCCAGCTGCTTGTTTTAAGATGTGTGGACTTCAACTCCCAGAATTCCCTAGCCTGCTTGTTTTAAGACGTGTGGACTTCAACTCCCAGAATTCCCCAGCCTGCTTGTTTTAAGACGTATGGACTTCAACTCCCAGAATTCCCCAGCCAGTTATGACAGTTGAAGTGTCCCATGGCCACATGATCCCCTTTTGCGATGTTCTGACAAGCCAAGTGAAGCCAGATTCACTTTACAACCATGCTACTAATTTAACTGCAGTGACTGTGGCAAGAAAGGTCGTAAAATGGAACAACTGTCACTTTAACAATTGTCACACTTAACAACAAAAATTTTGGGCTCAGCTGTGGTTGTAAATTGAGGACTACCTACATTGATATGGCTTTTCCATTCTCTTGTCAATTGTCCACCTAGGTAGGGTGGGCAGTGGAATTTAATTAATAAATAAATTAGTTAATTAATTTAAAAAAAAATGATGTGAGAATCCTCTGTCAAACGCCAGGGAAATCAGGAGATTCAGGCAGTTCAAATGCGTATACAGATTTATTGCAAATGTAAGCTCTCTAGAAGAATCTGATCAACTAACAGTCAAGGGAAATGAGCGGGAGATAAGAAAGGAATTCAAGGTGGGCTGGACTTATATCTCTTGTGGGCACGCAGGGACTCATGACTTATGACACGTTTGACGACTCCTTTGGGCTCACCCTAGTCATCTACATCAGCAGTCCGCAGCGTTTCCAGCTTGGTGGCACAGCCAATGTGTTTGTGTGTGAGAGTGTGTGAATGGCAGGTGCACGCACAGCTCTGATTGTGTGAGCAACGCACGCTCCCTACGCTGATCGAACTGGAGCTTCACGTGTGAGTAGAAGGTGCTTGCAATCAAGCACAAAGCTTCACTGCCGAGCTAGTGCCCTCTGCTCTGTAGCTTCACATAGAAGTGCCCTCTACTCACGTGAGGGGAACTTAATGCACACTTCCCCATTGCCCATTTTTGAGCAAGCTGTGGCTCAGTAGTGACTACGGCCTGGGGTTGGCAACTCCTGTTCTACATCCTTTTGGCTTAAGAAACAGAGAAGGGTTTCTGTTGTCCAAAGTAAAATGAATTCTGAGCTAGATGGATGAAACATCATCCAATGTAATTAAGGCAGAATGCAATGCTTCAATGTGTGATATTTTTTTTCCAACCAAGTGTTGTTCCCCCTATTGTGAAATATCCAGAAGGATTTAGGACAGGGGTGTCAAACTTGGGTCGTCACAGCAGCATCATGTGACGTATTGGGACTCACCCCCCCCCCTTTGTTAAAACACGGTGGCTTAGTGGACAAGACACTGAGCTTGTTGATCAGAAAGGTCGGCAGTTTGCCAGTTCGAATCCCCAGCACTGCGTAACGGAATGAGCTCCTGTTACTTGTCTGCCAACCTAGCAGTTCGAAAGCATGTAAGAATGCAAGTAGAAAAATAGGGACCACTTTGGGGGAAGGGAACAGCGTTGTGTGCGCCCTCAACGTTTAGTCATGCCAGCCACATGACCATGGAGATGTCTTCAGACAGCGCTGGCTCTTTGGCTTTGTAATGAAGATGAGCACCACCCCCTAGAGCTGGAAACGACTAGCACATATGTGCAAGGTGAACCCTTACCTTTACCTAAACCGGGTGGGGGCAGGGCCAGCACGTGACGCATCCAGCCTGCAGCCTGCGAGTTTGACACCCCTGGTTTAAGATCATTTGTTCCAAGCCCACTTTTGGTTTTGATTCAGCAACTTCCAACGTCTCTCTTTCCCTTTTCTGATGGTAGGACAGAAACCAAATATCCCAACTTGGATATTGGTGGCATATACATATAACCCCAAATCCTCCTTTTCACTAAACTAGACATACCCAGTCCCTTTAACCGTTCTTCATATGTTTTAGCCTCCGGTCCCCTAATCATCTTGGTTGCTCTTCTCTGAACTTTTTCTAGCATCTCAACATCTTTTTTACACTGTGGCGATCAAAACTGGATGCAAAATTGCAAGTCTTACTATTACATTCATTTAGTGACTGTTCAAAGTTATAACTGGGGAAGACAAAAGGGAAACGAAGATGATGAGGAACAAAGCAGACGGAGTCTGTTGCAGAGATCATGTGTTCACTGTTAGAAGATCTGAAGGATCTGATGGAGAATAGATCATCCTAGAGAAGGTTTATCTCTAATCAATCGTAAGGCATTACCAACTTCATAACATATAATATTATAGACCTTTATGGATTATGGTGGCGCAGTGGTTAGAGTGCAGTGTTGCAGGTTAACTCTGCCTACTGTCAGCAGTTCGATCCTGACCAGTTCAAGGTTGACTCAGCCTTCCATCCTTCCGAGGTCGGTAAAATGAGGACCCAGATTGTTGGGGGGCAATTGGGACCTGAACTTCCATTGCTGAGTGAAATGATTGTTAAATGAGTCATGCCCTATTTTATGACATTTTGCCCTGGCTTTCCTTGTTGGAAGCCAGCTTGAGGGTGGGGGTGGTCACAGATGATGAACACGTGGCCCTGGGCTACTGCAGCTGTCGTAAATACAGATAGTCCTCGACTTACAACAGTTCATTTAGTGACCGTTCAAAGTTACAGCTACATTGAAAAAAAATGACTTGTGACTCATTTTCACACTTACAACCATTGTGACATCTCCAGTCACGTGATCAAAATTCAGCCGTTTGGTAAGTGCTTCATACTTACGACCACTGCTGTATCCCAAGATCGTACAATCCCCTTTTGCGACCTTCTGACAAGCAAACTCAATGGGGAAGCCAGATTCCCTTCACAACGGTGTTACTAACTTATCAACTGCAGTGATTCACTTAACAACTGTGGTAAAAAAAGGTTGTAAAGTGGGGCAAAACTCACTTAACGTCTCATTTAACATAAATTTGTAAGTGGTCGTAAGTCAAGGACTACCGGTATTGATAGCATGATTTAAGCTTGTGTTTTCCCTTTCTATTCTTGTTCCAGTTTGATTTTTCAGGATATAAGAAACCACAATTGGGTTTGTTTTTTCCTTTCTAGGGGTAGTCCAGCTGCTATCCCAAATTTCTCCCCAAAAATAATATTTTCAAACAGTTCTGTATTGCATTAAAAAAAAAAAAAAGAACGCATTCATTCATCAACACACACATTCATGCAGAACAGACACAAACACACCAAACATCCCACGCTTTGTCTGTCAGGCGTCCCAGAAATTTGCTGAAAGTAAGCCTGGAGGAATTTTTTTTTCTAAAATACCATATATTCTTTCCCACGTGACTCTTTGTTTTCATATGATTCTTCGCCCAATCATTGGGCTAGGATGGCTGTTGAGCCAAGAATTTGATAGCTGGTTGGCTTGGCATTTGCTGGGAAGCGGGTTTGTTCTAAAACTTTTTAAAACCCTACCATTATTTTCTTTTTAATAAATAGCTCAAGACTCTAATACTTCCTTCTCCTCCTATTTTCTTGACACTAGTCCTCTGAGGTGGGTGAGAAAGAATGACTGGCCCAAAGTCGCCCAGCTAGTTTTCATGCCTAAGGCGGGACTAGAACTCACCGTCTCTGGTGATTGGTCCAGAGTCAGCCCTCTACCTTTCTTAGGGGTGAGCCCATTCTGTTAGTCATCCTTTTAAAAGATACATGCTAATGCTGGCTAGTTTTATTTTGAGGAAAGAACTCACCATCTCCTGGTGATTGGAGTAAAGTCACCTAACCAACTTTCATGACCAAGGTGGCGCTAGAACTCCCCGTCTCCCGGTGATCGGCCCAAAGTCATCCAGCCGGCTTTCAGGTTTGGGATGTTATAAATATATCCCAGTTGCCAAGTGACCAAATTTTTGATCAGGTGACCTTGGAGATATTGTGAAAGTCATACGTGTGAGGACTGGTTGTAAGTCCTCCTTTCAGTGCCGTTGCAACTTTGCTAAACGAATGTTTGAGTTCCACCTGTACATTTGCCGTGACTGTTGGAAAAAGAAAGACTTTCTCTGGGAATGTTGGAGGTAGGATGCTTTTTTTAAAAAAAAATGCTAAATCCAAATTTTGATTAGAATCTCAAAGTAGGAGTTGCCTTGAAGGCAATTTGAGCTCCTGATTCATCCATATCATTTTCTGAGTGTGTTACAAAGTGATCCCCAATGGTTTGTTCCAGGATGTTTTTCAACATCTCTTAATTCCCGGATTCCAAAAATGACTTCCCATCCAAGACCTGACCCAGGCTGACCCTGCTTAGCTTCAGAGATCAGCCAAAGCCAGCTAATTGGTGCCACCAAGGCAAGATATACCTTCCTATTAACTTTTCTTTTTTTTTTTTTTTTGGCAGGGCAGCTATTATTACTGAAGGTCTTAACAGTGCAAGTGCACCAAGTCAAGAGCGGGACACAGACCTAATGACGATACAACCATGGGTGAGTGTCTTTTTCTTTTTGGGGGTTGATCCTGTATTATTGGGTGGTGTAGAATGGGTTGTCTTTCAGTTCCTGTGGAACTGATGAAGTATAAGCATATACAAGAAGAGCAATTAACAAAGAGCAATAAGCAGTGGTGGGATTCAAATTTTTTTACTACTGGTTCTGTGGGTGTGGCTTGGTGGGCATGGCTTGGCTTGGGTGTGGCAGGGGAAGGATACTGCAAAATCTCCATTCCCTCCCCAGTCCCCACTGACCTGCTTTCCAGCTCCGTTCTCCTGTGCAGGGCAACAAAGGAAGACCCAGCCAATCAGCTGGGACTCAATGGGAGGCAGAGAAGAGATGGGGACGGGGCCAGTCAGAGGTGGGATTAGCCGGTTCTCCGAACTACTCAAAATTTCCGCTACCGGTTCTCCAGAACTGGTCAGAACCTGCTGAATATTCACCTCTGGTAATAATGATGTTGTGTGTCTTTGATACAATGCGTCTTCTCATCTAGCCTAGAATTGTGTTAGTTCTCCTATCAGTTGTCTTCCACTGCTGACTGATGTCCATATCCACAGTTGATCCTCAACTTATACTCCGTTTAGTGACCATTCAAAGTTACAACAGCACCAAAAACATTGACTTATGACTGTTTTTCACACTTGCAGCATTCCCCTGGTCACATGATCAAAATTCAGACGCAAGAGGACATGATTAGGAAAATACTAGAATGTGCAGAAATGAATAGAATAACACTGGCAATTAAAGAAAAAAAATAAACTGAGTATTACATGATATGGGAAGTATTCTATCAATGCTTGGTAAAGAAATATGAAACTTAGAAATCAAACATATAAACATTTAAGATATCTATATAGAATATATATGAATATAGAGGGGAAGGAGTTAAGAAGGGGATGGCTATAACGATAAGAAGTATTATGTATAGTAGTACAAAATAAGAATGCATTGTAATTATTGTTCTTATGGTAAGGAAATTGAATTAACCATAAATACTTGGCACAAGATACGTGTACCCGACATATCTGTTTAAAGAAAAGATAGAATGCTTGTAAAAATAAAATTAAAAAACCTTTTTTCAAAAAAAAAAAAATCAGACACTTGGGAATTAACATCTTAATACAGACTTTCTGTTTTTTCTTTGAAGATGTTTTGCTTCTCCTCCAAGTAGCTACTTCTTTGACCTAAAGAAGCTTCTAGGATGAGAAGCGAAACATCTTGAAAGAAAAACCAGTTGCCTCTTGGAAAAAAAAAGCACCTTTGGGACAGGCAGGACCTGGAGGATTGAGAGTCTCCACAGACAATCTCAAAGTGAATAAGATAAAACCAGAAACTTTTCTTCCAAAAGACTTGGGGGGAAAATGGGAACTTTGACGTTATATATATGTTAATAGTAGCAAAACTACCCTACACACAAAAACAGAAGGACACGTTGATCTCCCCATTACTTGGAAACCATTTCTGGGCTTTGTGCTTGTGGTGAGGAAAAAAAATGAAACTTTGATTTTGGGTTTTACCGATTAATGGGCTTATTGTTATAGAAATGGCTAGTTTATATTATTATGTGAAAGTAAAAAGTTTAGGATACTATTATCAATTGCACCAAAGAGAGTCGGAAATCAATGCCTTTTCTTGCTATTTTCCCTTTGCCACACATTTTCCTCCTTCCCCTTTCCCTCCCTTACAATTTTATTTCGTATTTTTGTATTTTATAAACTAATAATAAAGCAAAATGTGTTGGAGAAAAATGTACCAGAAATGATTGGCAATTGACTCACATTTATGATGCTTGCGGTGTCCCAGGGGCATGTGATCCCCTTTTGCGACCCTCCGACAAGCAAAGTCAATGGGGGAAGCCAGATTCACTTAACAACCGTGTGACTAACACAACAACTGCAATGACTCATTTAACAACTGCAGCAAGAAAGGTCGTAAAATGGGGCAAAACTCACTTAACAAATGTTTCCCTTAATAAGATAAATTTTGGGGTCAGCTGTTGGTCATAAGTCGAATACCCTAATTAGATGTCTATTCTAATCTTCCATTACAATCTATTCCTATTTTCCTGAGGTTGGTGGCAGCTCTTGGGTTCCCAATATGCAGCCTATCCAATCCCATCAGATGGTTTCACCATCTTTAGAAGTATACGTAGTCCTTGACTGACAACAGTTCATTTAGTGACGGTTCAAAGTTACAATGGCATCGGAAAAAGCGACTTAATCATTTTTCACACTCTTGTAGCTTCCCCATAGTCACTTGGTTCACATTCAGTTGCTTGACATTTATGACTGTTGCGGTGTCCCAGGTGAGGGGGTGTCACGTGGTCCCCTTTTGTGACCTTCTGACAAGCAAAGTCAATGGGGGAAGCCACATTCACCTAACAACTGTGTGACTCACTAAACAACTGCAGGGATTCTCTGTTTCTCCTTCTCCCCCCTTCTTTCTCCTCCTCTTTTCCACCTCCCCCCTTCTTCCTTCTTCTCCTCTTCTCTTCCTCCTCCTCCACTTCTTCCTTCTCCTCCTCTTCCTCTTCCTCCTCTTGTTCTTCCTCCTCCTCATCTCATCCTCCTCCTCACCTTCTCCTTCCTCCTCCTCCTCTTCCTCCTCTTCTTCTTCTTCCTCCTCCTCCACTTCTTCCTTCTCCTCTTCCTCCTTGTTCTTCCTCCTCCTCATCTCATCCTTCTCACCTTCTCCTTCCTCCTCCTCCTCTTCCTCCTCTTCTTCCTCCTCCTCCACTTCTTCCTTCTCCTCCTCTTCCTCCTCTTCCTCTTCCTCCTCCTCCTCGTCTCATCCTCCTCCTTCTCACCTTCTTCTTCCTCCTCCTCCACTTCTTCCTTCTCCTCTTCCTCCTTCTCCTCCTCTTGTTCTTCCTCCTCCTCCTCCTCTTCTCATCCTCCCCTTCTTCTTTTCCTCCTCCTCCTCTTCCTCCTTTGCCTCCTCTTGTTTTACTTGTCCTACTCCTTCTCCCCTTCTCCTTCTTCTCTTCCTCTTCTCCTCCTCTTCCCCTTCTTCCTTTTCCTCCTTCTCTTCCTCCTCTTCTTCCTCCTCCTCTTCCTCTTCCTCCTCCTTTCCCTCTACTCCTTTTTCTCTTCCTCCCACTCTTCCACCTCCCCTCCTCTTCAGGTGCTTCCTTGTATAGCGGATTGGCCACTAAAAAAATCGATGGCTGAACCAGATAGGAACAGATCTCTGATCCAGCATACATTGCTCATTTTACACTCTCTTCTCTTCTAGCAAACTTATATTTTACCACTTAAAAGTAGCCCAGTCTGAACTTCACTGGCATGAAATTTATACACTTATTTCTCTGGCCAATTGACGTTTGCCTAAGGCTAGGACAGCCACGAGTCCTTAAAGAGTTTGGTGGTACATACTAGTAGTAACTACGTATGGGTTCTAGTTGCCCTGGTGGACTCCACCTAAGCATGAACCAGCCACGTGCTCCCGCTGCCAACAGGGCCAAGGCAATCCTGGGATGCATCAACAGAGGGATATAACCTCAACAGCCTGGGAAGGATGAGTACCACTCCGTGCTATCCTGCCGAAGCCACGCTTGGAATACCAAAACCGGTTCTGGATACTACAATATAAAAACGATGCCCTAGAAAGAACGCGGAGGGGAGCAACAAAGATGATGAAAGGTCCGGAGGCTAAAGCAAACGACGAACAGTTAAGGGAGGTAGTTATGTTCATCCTAACAAAGAGAGTGGAAGGGACGCGGTGGCTCAGTGGCCAAGACGCTGTGCTTGTCGATCAGAAAGGTCGGCAGTTCGGCGGTTCGAATCCCTAGCGCCACGTCACGGAGGGAGCTCCCGTTCCTGGTCCCAGCTCCTGCCAAGCTAGCAGTTCGAAAGCATGTAAAAAATGCAAGTAGAAAAATAGGGACCCCTTTGATGGGAAGGGAACAGCGTTCCATGCACCTTCAAAGGCGTTTAGTCACGCCGGCCACATGACCACGGAGACGTCTTTGGACAGTGCTGACTCTTCAGCTTTGTAATAGAGATGAGCACCATTAATCTAAACGACTAGCACGTATGTGTGAGGGGAACCTTTAACGAAGAGAAGGCTCAGAGGAGATATGAGAACAGTCTTCCAATACGGGTAGTCTTCGGCTTACAACAGTTCACTTAGTGACCAAAGTTGCAATGATACTGAAAAAAAGTGAATCATTGTGACATCCCCGTGTGATCAGAATTCAGATGCTTGGCAGCCGCTTCGTACTTATGATGGTTGCTGTGACCCAAGGTCATGTGATCCCCTTTTGCGATCTTCTGACAAGCACGAGAAAGCCAGATTCACTCAACGACCGGTTTATATAAACTTACCCACCGCAGTGAACCATTTGGCAACAACTGGCAAGACAGGCCGTAAAAGAGAGAGGCAAAAGTCGCTTAATCGCTTAGCAATAGAAATTTCGGGCTCAATTGTGGTCGTAAGTTGAGGACTATCTGTACTTGAAGGGCTTAGGGGAAAAGGGCATCAATTTAACTCTTTACGGTTTTCCCTCAGGGCAGGGTAAGAAGTAAAGATTGTTAAAAAGCAATACAATTTAAAAATAAGCAGAGATTTCCTGACAGGGAGAGCCATTAATCACTGTAACAGTTTGCTTTCCAGAATTGTGGGAGCTCTGGCACTGGAGGTTTTTCAAAGAGATTGGACATCCATTTGTTTGGGATATTATAAGGACTCCTGACTTGGCCAGGGGGTTGGACTAGAAGACCTCCAAGGTCCCTTCCACCTCTATAATTCCATATATACGATTTTTAAATATATAAATTTCTGCAAAATAGAGAAATGTTAACAGGTTAACAGAGTTGGAAGGGCCCTTGGAGGTCGTCTAGTCCAACTCCCCACCCAAGCAAGAGACCCTACGCCAGTGATGGTTAACCTTTTTGGCACTAAATGCCTAAAGCACGCCCCCCCAAATACAACAGACGCGCACCCCCCGCATGCGCCCCACCCCATGCATGCACATGTGACCCCCTGCGACCCTT